TAAAGTGGAGAGCTCAGAATTCGTGGACAGAACTTTCTTACATGATGAACAGGCATTACACATAGTCCCTGGAATTTCCAATACACAAATCAAGATTATTAGCGTAACCCAAAATGTAACCGAGTAGCTATGTCGAGATACAATGGCATGTGTGTACGTATTGCTAGTATACACAGTGAAAATTTGTCCTAAGATTGATCATTCCATTATATTCAGGACAGAAATCGGAAAAAAAAAAATGCCACTCAAGTTGAACATCACTGTAAAGGAATTTTTTTTTCCTTTTTCTTTTTTCAGTAACCTAAGAGCCAGGGGAGCTGGGAGGTATGTCTCGGGGAACTGGTCTTGATGTTATAAGATGACTACTAACAACCATGTGTAAAGTCACAGACAAGAAGCAAGGGTTTCCGTAATCCGAAGACGTCTCTCTCTGGTTGGAAGTTTGGTGCTTAGGAGCATTAGCCTCCCAGAGCTGAGACAGGAAACAGGCTGTGCTGAGAAATGGGCCCCTTGCCAGTTGTCCCGTCCTCCTTCCTCTGTGAGGTGGAGGTCAGAAGGCAGAGATGGCTGGCAAAACCGTGAAGTCCCACCCTGGGGTCTGAACCCCAACTCCACTGAGGGCAGCCTCCCTGACAGGTGTGACTAGGCAGTAAGGGTGGCGGTTGATGGCGGCCGGGGAACCCAGTTCTGAGGTTCCCATGGCCAAGTCTGGCTTCTGATTCTGCTGCCCTGCAAAGAAATTGTGCTCCGGATAACTGCACCGGTGTCTCTAATGCCTCTGATTCACTCTCAGGCCCCTGGAGGGAGGGCTTGAAGTGATATCGCTAAAAGTGAACGCACGTCCATTAGCACCTAACTTACCACCAGGAAGCGGCTGAGGCACTGGGAAGCCTACGAGCTCTCTCCACGTCGAGCAACCACACCGCACACCGGGGAAGTTGCCGTAAGTCAGAGTTATTTGTAGGCTTTTGATTTTTTTTTTTTTAAATCAAAATTGATCTGCATTACATCTCAATAGACTCAGATAATTCTCACCAAAATTTTTGTCCTGTGTTTAAATAGCACTGGAAGAATGCAACTTCATTTAAATATAGTCATTCAACCCTGAAAATATGTCATACAAACATCTATTTACATACAAACACATTAAAATTTTGTGAAAAGGGTTCCCACCCCCGTGGTTGTATGGCTTCAAATAGTTTCATTGCTTTGAATAGGTATGCACACATTTGGCAAAAGAAAACTTACATTTTTGTACTTTGAAAATGAAAAAAAGTGACGTGGAGTCTCCAAATTCTGGAAGGGAACAATCAAAGAAAAAAAAAGATTTTATCCAGGTACCCGAAGTAGGTATAAATTTAATATCTTTTGTGAACCTTTGATCTGTGGCAAATAAATGTTCCAACTACCAGTCTTGCAACGTAGTTTTGCTCGTTTTTCTATAACAAAAGATGACTGGATTCTAAATCATTACTCTTACGACAGAAACTTGAGGCAACTGTTTTAAAGCAAACCAGAAAACGATACCTCTACCGTCTTGGAAGAATTTGAATGCATTTTGCAGTGAGTGATTTAAGTTCTAGACTAAATGAAATTTACTCAAAGTGCCACATACAGTCTCTGAGAAGACAACCCTTGAATTCGCTGTTCACGATGAATGCAATTTCACTAGTTAAATGAAGTGTCGTAAATGGTTACATTCTGAGAAGACAACCCTTGAATTTGCTGTTCACGATGAATGCAATTTCAGTAGTTAAATGAAGTGTCGTAAATGGTTACATTTAGGCTCTTGGCCTTATCAGGTTGTTGGTGACAAGGAAATAGTTTTTCAAGGGTGAGAATCCCCAGAGGGCAAATAGACCACCGGTTCCAGACAGGTTCAAAGGGGTCTTGAAAAACTAATTTCCTTCTTGCTTTCTCAGGTAGACCAGGAAGAAGCAGGCTGAAATAAGAATAGGTACTACAAAACTCAAGTCCTCCTCCTCCCCTGTCATGCTTCTCATCGCACGGCTCCTTCGTGTCAGCAGGTCACTCCTTACGGTTTCTGTTGCTCTGTTCGAATGTCCATTTGGGAACATGCTCTAACGGATTAGTTCCTATTCCTAACTCTAACACAAGATAATATTTGTCATAGAAAAGATGCTAAGGAAAGATCTACTCATGCAGGGTCTGGACTGGGACAGCTCCGAGTGAACCTCCGCGGCACCAGGCACACGCACCTGCTCCTGCTGCTCTTTTCTTGGGGGGGAGAACAGAAGGTTATTCCTTCATTCCCCACCAAATGGAATCTTCCACTTTCCTGCAGTAATGCTGCTGCTGGCGGAACAGCCGGATTCAGTGGCTTCCTTCCCCTTCCTTCCACAGCCCATGTAAAGTCGAGAAATACATCCTGAGGCTTTTTCCACTCACACCGGTACAAACGGGGGGTGGGGGGGGGGACTCCCTACTTTCTCCAAAGGGAATTCCTTCGGGGACCGCAGCCCCTCGACCCCCGACTTCCTGACCTACCTACAGAACACAGTGACTCCCTGGCCCTCTCTGATTCCACCTGTGACAGAGTGTCTATTTGAGAATGGGGGTGGGGATGGCAGGGGAGGCCAGGCCACACAGGGGCAGACAGAGGGTCCAAAGGACACACCTGGGACCCCAGAGCAAGACCAGCCAGAGGGGACAGGAAGTTGGCATGGAGGACTCTATGGGAGAGAGCGGCTGGGGCTGCTGTGACCTGCAGGCCGGATTCTCGCTCACAGTGGGAGGAGAATGGGCAGAGCAGAGAGAGAAGGGCTGGGAGACACAGGATGGAGAGTCAGGGAGGAAGGCGGAGAGGCCCAGCCCTGCGGATGGTGTCCTTGAATTGGCTGCAGACACACCACTGGGTTAAGGTCAGAGTGTCATCATTCAGGATCTAAGTCGAAGAACAAATTAACTGCTTAACCATGACTTACAACTCTTCAGTCTCTTTTTATCTAAAAAATATTTTTTAAAATTACATTTGAATGGGATAATGAGAGTACCCCTTAGGACAGAAATTGTGTCCCACTGCAGCCGTGACCAGAAGGACGTCCCCCTCAGGGATGGAATCGTTCAGAGGACAGCTGCACCAGAGGAGTAACCGCACGGTCCTCTCTACCTCCTCCCCTGACCTGGCTCCACAGCCCAACTGACCAGGGCTCATTTAATAAAGCCATCGCTCTTCTGAAGACACACACTCAGTCACATTTCAATCAAAGCACCTCTCAGAGTTCACGTTCAGAGACTCTGTCCTTCTGTCACGGTTTTCAAAATGGTCTCTTCCTGCAGGATAGAAGCGATCCTATCCTGATGCCTTTCCTCTAAAAACTCAGCTCCTTTTGTGAGAGATCTTTCTAGATGCCTTAACAACTTCCTCTCATTTGTGAGCTATCAGCTGAAGCTTTCAAAAACAGGGTCCAACTGGATTTCCCTGAAAACACTGCCACCCAGCTGCAATGCAGGCAGCTGGGTGCTCTGAGAAGCCTGGCTTTGCAAAGAAGGGAAGGGTGACTGTCACTGCCTGGAAGGCTGAATCCTGTGGCCAGGCGCTGCCTATGGGGAGTGGTGAGCAGCCCTGGGTCCAGGACTGCTTGCAGTCTTCCCAAGAGCGATGTGTAACTGACCAGACGTAGCAAACTTCCTTGTACCTGTCTGCTTTCTCTTCTCGGATCCCCCAGCAAGCTTTTCCTCATCAGCTGGCGCTCACTGTCCTGGCATCCGGCGTGCTGGTGCTGACTTTCAAGACCAGCCTCACGCAGGTGACAGGTGACAGGTGCTGTGGACAGGCACAGGTCAGAGGAACTGCTGCTCTCCAGACCTCCCTGCTACTTCCCGAAGGCGTCTAAAGTTACATAGCCATGACACGTGGTGAGGGGCCTTCTGAGAAAGCAAAACTCCCAGAGTCACTCCGAGCGATCCCAGTTATATTACAGATCTAAAGAGCTAAATAAAAAAAGAGGGGTTTTCTCCTTATTTCTGCAGTCGTGATCACACGTGGCTTGCAAAACAGCTGAAATGCTATCGATATTGTTGCTTTAAAACTATGCCAGTGTTAACTCTTAGTTTACAATGCTTTGAAGCAGGAAAATGCTTTGAAATGACGATGATGAACAGTTTTAGCGGTAAGGTTTGATTTGTACCTACTGATCAGCCTTAATAGTATTGATTAACAATTTGTTTGAATTCGGTGTTAGAATTCGAGGTTGCTATTTGACTTTTGAATTCGATGTACCGTGCCACAAGCCCGACTGCGTTATGTACATTTCATGTGTCCCCAAGGAGAAGAAAGTTACTAGCACTATTGAAGATATTGTAAAAGTGCCACAGTTATTGTTTAGAAATACTAATTCTCTTCTCTCCTTTCTTGAAGTATATATTACAGCTCTTTCATAACTTAACACAAAGCAAATTCATTCCTTCTCACATCTTAAAGCAAAGGTATCTTTGTTTACATGCGAGAGTAATAATTCCAGAAGAGTACTCTGGCCCTATGAGCCAGTAGTCTAGATTAGGACTTCATAATGAAATAATGATATAGAAAAATAAAATCAGAGAGAGACCTACACACTGCCACGGATGCAAAAATCCATTTGGAAGTTTTCTCTTGGAAAGGATTACGTAGGATAGAGAATAGGACCGAAGAGGGAAATGACTTAAAAGGTGGGCTTGTGTTCACTAGAGGGGGAAAAAAAGCCATTCTATTGTAAGATACAGATCAAAGGTTAAAAGGCAAATGATACTACACCGAGGAACAAAGATGGAAGTCTCTACCCTCCAGACGGCACCTTTGCAAGTGTGACAACACAACTGGCATTGGCCGTAGGAAAAAACAGCTTGGAAAAAACCACTGGCGAAAAATGACCCAAAAACCCCGTTTCCCTTTTTCAGTCTGATCATTTGGCTTCTCTGAGTGTGGGACAGATTTAGACCTGAACCACCAAAGCACACGACG